TATTTATTACGACTGTACCAGTTGTATAAATTAGATTCCAGATTCAAGATATGTATGTTCATATGCACACAGTAAACAGACCTTAGTTTGCTAGTCCACCCTGCGCAAGTAAAATACAGGAATATAAAAATAAATAAATACTTAGAAAAAACAAATATGTTTGGCACACGGCAACAGCAGCATTAAAGGGCACATAAAGATATTAAATAGTTGTATTGCACGTGGTTCACGAGGCCTCCCGAGACAAAAGCAGCGCCCAACGTGGGGCTCGAACCCACGACCCTGAGATTAAGAGTCTCATGCTCTACCGACTGAGCTAGCCGGGCATGAGAGCGACAGGAAACATCCCCCTTCTTCTCCCCTCACTATCTGCCAGTGGACCTTACTCTTGAGTTACACATTCCACACAACAGGAAGTCACATTGCTCAAGACTGTCGACACCAGGAGAAGGGGGCTCATTTATAACCACTCTGATCCGAGCCTGTGACATGGAGCGAGCGGTTGACCGAGCGTGGTGTGTTCAAATGCAATGAACGGGAAAGAAAAGGTTAATAAGTGGTGGTTGTTTTTTACTTTGTGTGTCAGGGCTTTCGGAGATTAAACTCCAGAAAAATAGTTTAAATTAAGTAATTGTTGGCGTGGCTTGCAATTGTTTTAAAAACATCTCTGAAGTAGTTATCTAGAAAAACAGGTAAAACCCAATTGTGTTGAGCTCTGAACCAGCAAGTCCAGTTTAGAGCTTTACCAAACAGGAAGGCTCTGACTGGCCATTGTAGTTACAAATCTGGATTGGAAACCTCTTAAAAAGTTAATCATAGCTGCAGTGACTTTCTTCTTTTGCTTACAATACAGATCTCTATCTCACATGCCTGATTAGCCAACACAAAGTGCTGCTATTGCCAACAAGTAAGGTGAAGCCCCATGCCACAACACTACAATTGCACACAATTAACAACATAACAGTATCCGAGATAAGTAGATCAAGATAACGCCAAAAAACTCAAATGCTCTCTCGAGAATTACAAGGAAAACAATTGTTTAGCTGTTTATTTCTCTCCGCCGTGTTCCTATTCTTCCTTAGGTTCAATTGTTTGGGTGCATGTGTGGCATCCAAAAAGAAAACACAATAAAATAATACGGTCAAACTCAGCAAGGGAATTTAAAAAAGTGTTTACCTCGCTGATGTCGACCGGCTGTGTGAAGATCTTGGCCTGGTCCTTTGTCTGGAGCTGGTCCAATAGCCCTTGGAGCAAAATACTGAACGGACACAACTGGATCTCTAGAAGGCTCTCCTGCAGTTTAATCTACAAAACAGCACAGAGGGAAACCGTAAGAAGGCTTTTCCATGTATTTGACAGAATGTAATCAGAACACAAGTGAAGTCCCAGTCCCACCTGGAGAACGGTGCATCTCAAGGAATGTATCCTAATAAATAAATAAATGTCTATATACCTCCTCCCTCTTCATCTTCTCCCTCTTGCGGATCAGCTCCAGCAGCAGCCGCGCTCTCTCCAGGTCGTGTCGGAGACGATGCCACTCCTTCAGCTGCTCCTTCAGCGCCCTGCTCTCCTCCTCATTCTGCTTCTGGAAAGTATAATAAGTAATACAGGCATTCAGACCAATGGCTGTCAACTTGAATAACATCTGAGGGTTTCTCAAGATAAACCTTTTAAACATTTCTTTACGGCAAACGGCTACATAAGCATGAAGACACACAACACCTTGTTGAGAGCATGCAAGTCAAGTTTCTAAAAACTACACATAGATACAAATCGAAATGAAAACTGATAGTCTCCTGTGTTTGACTGAGAGATAAACAAACCGGTTGCGTATTCTTCTGAGACTGCATGCTCGTCTGGAGGCGTCTGATGAGGGGGAGGCCGTTCCTGGATTGCCTCTTTAGTGTCCAGTAATTTAGGGCCAGCTCCACAAAAGCTTTTTTCTTCTGAACCGACACCTGGTTGAGAATGGTTTGTAACCTAGGGGAGCCAGGGAGATAGGTATTAGAAGGAGAGATACCAACAGCTGGCACACTTCAAAAGGCTTCTAGGCTTCTTGAAGGATTATGCAAGCCAAGAATAATACAGCGGCTTGTTACACACGTGGTTGCGTTTTTTAAATTTAATTAACAGCCACAAACAAGCTTTAACCTGAATTTGACTGACACTCGACGCAGAGCAAATGCATGCCAGCAGATCACTGAAGCTTCTATTTCCGAAGGCAAACATTTGTCTCGTGCTCAAACCCCACAACAGCCAATGTTTGTATATCAACAGCAGACTGTCTTATCAGTGTCCTTGAGAAAAAAAAGAAAAACCCTCCCTATATCACCACTCCTGGCCTCAAAGCACTAAAACACAACATAATCACCATCATTAAAAAAGGGGCTGATTTTCAGGTTCATATTTGTTTTTGTGTCTTATCTGTGACATGTCTACATGCTTTAATGATATGTTTCTCATACTCCCTGTGCTGCCTGTAATTAGAGCCCAGTCTGAGAAGCGTGAGTGTTACACAGTGATGTTACGGAAGTAAACAAAATATACCAACTATTAGCGTTTCAGTCAGAGGGCAGTATGTGGGAGGGAAAACTCCCTCTGGAACTTATAAAAACAATATAACATGACAGGAAAGGGAAACCCCCAAAAAGCATGAAAGGGCCCCTTTAATAAAACTTTTAAAGCACACCTGTGAGCGGGAAACGTAGGCACAGCAGCAGGAGTCACAGCTTCACTCTCAGCTTCAGACTCAGGCTTCTTACTCTTCTTCTTTCCTTTAGACGATCCTTTCCCAGCACCTCTCCCTTTGTCCACTTTCTTACATAGTCCGTTTTTGGGTTTGGCCTCATTGTAGATTGTTAGAGGCCTCCTCACACACCCGTTTGGTGTGTGCGCTCCACAGTATGCCGTCTTCTTCACAGAAAACGTGGGCTCCCCAGTGTCCGTCACCTCCTTGATCGGCTCCATCTTCATAAAGAGGCCAGCCCTTTGGGCGCAGCTGACATGGAAGGCGGTGTAACAGTTGGCTTTGTGGCACTGGATGCACGCCCCCACGCCTTTCTCCTTGCAGAGGTAGCAGGTGAGCTTCCAGCGGGCGGGAGGAATGTGGCTGACACCGTCTATGGGTTCGATGAAGGTGGTGTTGGTGAAGCCGACCTCAGGGACCCAGAGGGCGCACACCACGTGGCCCCAGCGCTCATCTACTGTCTTTTTCAGTGCTCCCCCCTTATTAGGACAGAGGATACAGTCTGAAGGCTGGGTGGGTACCTGAAGACAGTGTCTGCAAAGCCACTGGCCCTCAGGAATATACGGCACACCGTAACATTCCTGGTGCACGGCCACGTTGCACATGTCGCAAAACAGAATAGCGTTGCTGTTGTGACACTCTCCGTCCATGCAGATGCAGCAGACGGCGTCCTCGTCAATGGGAGCGTGCTTCTCACCGCCTTGGTCCAAACTCTCCAAGTGCAACTCTTTCTCAAAGCGATCGACGAGAAACTCAAAGACGTTGTGAGAGACCTGACTGACCCCTTCGCTTTTCCGTTTCTCATTCACCAAATCCAACCAGGCATAATCCTCCTCGTCCATGTCGTACTCCGTGTCCTCGTCCAGCTCTTCCTCTGTCTTCTCTGTGTATTTATAAAAGGCGGATGAGCGCTTAGGAACTGCTGGAAGATTATATTCCACAGTACGAAATTTAGGCTCGTTGAGTTTTGGACCGGTATTGGCAGCAGGCTGATATCCACCTCCATGTCCAGGACTGGTGATGCCCAGCGCAGCGTTTCTCTTCTCCTGGTTGTTTTTTAACCGGACAGACCTCAGGAGGACCTGCTGCGGTTTCTCAGCATTCTCCTTATTGCTGGTGCACTCCATCATCTCCTGCACCATGGGGTCATCATCTGAGATCACGTCCAGCTGGTCGTATATGCTGATTCGATGGAGGCGGCCATCGAGATCGAACTCCACCATGCTCTGCGCCTGGGCGTACGTCAGGATCTGCTTGTTGGGGGAAGGCATGATGGGAGACGACGGCCTCTGCGGCACCGCAACCCGGTGCTGCCGAGCTTTCTTCTTCATCTTGGTTCTCCGTGTTGCTGTGGAGAAAGAGTGAGGAGATATGGTTAGAGATCTGCACGTATTCATTGAAATGGTAAAAAAAAAAAAAGGGGGTAGAGATGGTGGATTTTTAACAAGGAGCTACTTTTCAGGGGTAAGGGAAAACAATAACCTTTATCATTTACTCATGAAGTATTCTGGGCTTAAAGCGCTTAATTATTTGACATACACCTCCATTTCCTTTGCTATAAAACATTGTTAATGGTTTTAAAAGCTGTAGTTGTTTTTTTATATATATACAGGCTTTCCATCAGCACTAAATCAGGCTGTCAAAAATATTGGGTAACCCTGCAAGTAAAATAACAAATAGACCAGGAAAAATACATTCTACACTCGCATTACAACTTTTCTCGTAGTGAAAATGTAGCTATTTTAAACTAAGAGATACAGTATTCTCATTTAATGCAAAACTCTATGGACCAAACCACAGAAAAGTGAAACATGTTTAATTTAAAAGCATTATACCTAAAGATTAGCAGCTGACTTGTAGAGCAAAAGTCAATGCTATAAAAAGTAAAGCTTCGAGCTGCAGGGACCTTATGTTGTGGATTGTAACGTTAGTAGACAGCTGTACGTTACACTTTTGTCAATGAGCTGAGGCATTTAAATGCGGTGGGAGGCGGCCACACAGGGCACTTTAAACATGACTCCACAGGAGTTAGTGCTTGCCCATTTGGTGCAGAGAGGAAACTGCCTTTTACACTAACGCCTCACAAAGTAGCCAAGTTGCTAACAATAACATTAGCTACCCTGCTAACTAGCTAGAGGAGCTAGCCAGCAGGCAAATGGCGTCAAACAAAACAAGAGACCTTTAAAACGTCTCCTAATTCATACCGAATGTGTGACATAAAAACACATTTTGCACATGCACTGAATGCTTTCTAGTCGTTATAACACATAGCACAGAAAAGCACATAAAGCAGCACCAAAGAAGAACATACCTCGGATTCACGAACAGTTTTGCTAGTTGAGGAAGACGGTAGCTAGCCAGCAGCCTTACAAAGCAATGGCGATACGGCCTGCTAAGTGGCTCTAATTCCGTACACAGTGTTCTCATCCAACGATACTGGGGTTGCTATTAAAATAAGAAACACGCCTGCATGGTGCCTGAGGGGTTTCGGTGTTCAATGCAACAGAGAACACACAATTAGTAGCTTTGTGGACCATTCATAGGCTAGAGAAACTCGCTAGCCACAGGAGCAAATAGCAGCAACACGGACGGCTCATCCCCCAACACAACAATGCGTTTCACCAGACAACTCCCACCCGCACGCAATACTCTACGTGTGACGCTGGAGGTCATGTCGGTGGTGACTCGTAGATTTCACACAAAAGCCCATCTGTCACAAGATCAATGCATTGCCTTTTGTCGATCCTCGCTAGAGCTATACACAGACAAAGCAGAGCATAACACTGTGTGAGTAAAAGCTCTCTCTGTGTGTATGTGGCTCTGTAAAATGATATCCAGTTAATATTACTTTCCCACTGGTTTTCCTGTCAGTCATGCAACCAGTTATTGATTCAGCATGTCTCCTCTAGTCTCACAGAGGACAGTCATGAGGACGCAGGCAGAGAAACACACAGAACATGTCTTTGCCCCACCCTGGTGACCGGTTTTCACACAGCTCTATCCCAGAAAGCCAGTTGGTTTAGTTCAGTTACCGCATTTTAGTCAATGAAATCCCATATATTACTGTATACTATAGAGTAGACTGTACTCAAAATGTTCCTATTTTAACTGCGAGCTCGTTGTCCCAGAATGACCGTGAATGCAACACAGTGGAGAATGTATTCATTGAGCATTAATCATATAGCAGTACTAGTAACATGCATATGTGGTCGATGTTTTTTTGTTTGTTTGTTTGTTTATTTTAAACTCACAATTTTGGTTCTCTATTTTTTTCGAAAAGCAATTAAATTTGACTTCTTTAATTTAGCTACTTTTCCAAAATCTATATGGCTTGGTAAAGAATAACACTGCATTTTTGTCATTATTTGCTTGTATTATTAATTTCAGTACATGTCACTTTAAAATGTTTGAAATGTTAATAAACAATTTAGAATAATAATACACTTGATTTATATTGTGCCTTTCATGCTAGATGCAGCCCAAAGTGCTTTACAGAGCAATAGATACATAAAAATAACAATGAGTAAAAATAAAGAGTAAGGAACTTACTATAAAAATATTCCGTGTCTCCTCGATTCAATTAATTAATTAATACTAAAAGCCACTTAGTGTGTCATTTTAATATCTGATAATGTACCTTCATGAGTGGAAAGATAAATTAAGAAAATGTTTTCTATTCTTTTTTTTAAACTCAAGAACATATATGAACATCATATATTTTGTATTGAAAAAAGGTCACATCAGGGGTAGACATAACAAATGACATAAAATAAATAAAGTAAAAAAGAAAAATATTGTTTTGTTAAATACTCAAATCGTTTTGATTGCCTTTTTATTCATAATGTTTTTAATGATGCCACTATATTGTTTTAATTCATTGTAAAACAATCTCTAAATTTGATTTGGAGTCAGCCCAAGAACATGTTTTATGTGACATATATCTGAAATGTATGACCTCCCCCCC